AGATGTGGCTCCGACCTAAGGAGGCGACAAATCCCCTACCCTGCCACAGCAAGGAAAGCAGAGTTATTCAAACTCCTCCATTCATCAACGGACAACACGGAGGCAGGGGAAGGCCCAGCAACACCAACTCAGGTGACACCCAGGCCATGCTAGCCTCACTCATAAACTCATGAGCCAAATAATTTACGACAGACTGGCAATCTCGAGTCAGTCACAGCCCTCACAAGGCTGGGCCTCACGCTACTGTACAACCAGCACCAACCGAAACTCGGTTACCTGGTACAATCAATTCTTGGTACAAGACGTTAACCCTGCACATATGATCCTGGCACATTGGGGAAACAAGGCATATATATGTATGATGATGTATCTATGATGGTCAGAATCAGGGATTCTAGGTAAATCGGGAACTGACCATCCCTTGGTTGTGTTGGCATTTGGAATATGTAGAGATGCTTATTTGTGCAGGTACCCATACAGAAGGGATTTTCTCCCAAACAAACGGACGAGCACTCTCAGGCTCCAGGTACCAGCACCTCTGAACTACCAGAGACAATTGGTATTAGTAGTTGCATTGCATATAGACTGTTGCATATATGTTAAAATCATTCAGGGCACATGACAAACCATGTGTCCCAATACAACTTACAAATAACGTACTCACCATCTGTACACACCAATGCATTTTCAACACTACTGACTCATCACCTTTCCAGACTTGTAGTAGATTTACTAAGGATCTGTAGCTTCAAAGGGCTGCCATACAGGTACCCTAAATAAACTCTCAAGGAATATAGCATGCCCTCACTTACAGTCAGCACAACAGAACCGTCGGCTGTAAACACACTCATAGCCAAGATTTGCTTGGAGAGGTTTTTACTTGGGTTTTCCAATCTCCACCATTTACAGCATGGCACCAAGCACATTGGTATTGTCACAAGGGAATCTTCCCTTAAACAAAGACTAACCATAGACTTATTGGCACCACACACCTTCGCTACCCCAAGTCTCAACTCCCTCATACCCTCCGAGGAGTTTCCTTACTATACACACACCATTGATCTACCTTTACAGCTATCACTCAAGCATGGGTTGAAGCTTCGTTAAGTAAGACCAATATCATCAACACAGTAAACGACTACCATCTACCCTACAAACTGGCACTTACATGGCATAAAATGGGCAATCCTTTCCCCGCTAAAAGCAGCTGCTGTGGCATGGGGTAAATCATGGTCAGGGTCATCAATCCGTTGTTACTCAGCCAACTAAGCACATGTCATATCATCAACAAATGCCACTAATCATCCATACGATCATGGTATTGCTGGGGAACTCACTTGGTTGGCCACTTACCACATTTCTTTTACTTTCATGTACCAGGCGGGGGTATACATCCCTGCCGACAATTGTCTCATTTATATTCCAGGCATGTTCATCATACGCTTCCTACAGCCGCCCATACAGTCACGGCCACTCTTTCGTTCCAGAGACAAAATCATGGATTAGACATACTCATGCAGCATAGCATGCACTATCCCACCTAGCACTTTCATCCCATACTTGTAGAACGCATAACACCTATTCACCTGGCTTTAAAGAATCTCATTGGAACACGACATAGCTCAACCTGTGTCATAACATTTCTCCTAGGTTTTGCTTCATTTTTGCCACCTTAAACTAAAACCATCTCACACACCATTAATTATATATTTTACAGGCATTCAACAACACAGGATAACCTATGGCCAAAACTACCATAACTTCATGCTATCATACCAGACAAGAATATACTCAGAGGTTTTCAGGAATCCATCCCCCCACGTTCCTCTCATATATTACCAATAGCCATCCAACTTTTCCATCCTTATCGGACCTATTAGAGCTACAACCATTCAATTATACTACCAAGTTGGCCATTACCAGCCATGCACACTGCCTTTTATGCCTTTCTCAGGCCAGAGAATCCACTACCATAACCACCACTCAGACAGATCATTGTCTTCAACGATCCCACGTACGTAAACACATATATAATTACCTATTGGCTCTACCACATTCCGAAACGAGTCAACACGCACCAACTTTAGAGATAACCTACTATCCTACCCACAACAAATGGTGTCCAGTTGCGGTCCTAGATTCCTACCTTCAAAAATCCTTCAAGGAATTAAATACCGTAATGCATTTAAGGAAATGTCTGGTTAATTTGTATATATTGTTGACTGTATTAAATCTTTGATTATTCTTTTTGCCCTCTTTATTTACAGGCCTACCGTATCGTCGGTCTCGGCACACCACAACCGACTTGCTCCCTTTACACTATCCTACGCTTATGCTGGATCCTTAATCCATATACGGCTATTTTGCCCCTTACACAAGTATTAAGGCAGTTTTGCCTGTATTTGTGGGAGGGGCTTAAATTAATGCACTCCCCTATATAAGGGACACCCCTTACCTGACTCATATCGCTTGAGGTCAGCATCAGAATGACCCTCCCACCCACTCCTCATTGCAACACTTTCTCTTTTATTTCCATTTACTTTACTTTCTTACTCCTTGGTGGGCCCTCTTTATTTACAGGCCTACCGTATCGTCGGTCTCGGCACACCACAACCGACTTGCTCCCTTTATACTATCCTACGCTTATGCTGGAACCTTACTCCATATACGGCTATTTGCCCCGAACACAAATAGACATATATTATATAGATATAATCTATATCTATATATCATATTTATATACACATATATAATTTTTTTTTTTTTTTATTAACATGTACCTTTAATTTTTTTTGATTTTACACTAGCAGGGAGACTGCCTGTCAGCACAGACAGTACCCCTGCAGGCAGACACTAGGACGTCTATTGTGACCATGTGATCGCTCTGTTGAGCGATCACATGGCCCCAGGAGTCCTAATCCACCGCGGGGAGACTGTCTGGGCTGCAGGCAGTCTCCCCACACCGTGAGCACCTCCGATCGCCCCCGGGGGAACGACGGTGATCGGGTAAGTACATTGTACCGTTAGGACGGTTCAGGACCGTCACCGGTCGGCAATGCAAAAATGCCGATGACGGTCCTGAACTGTCCTAGGTCGTTAAGGGGTTAAAGATGCAAATAATAAGGCGACAGTGCAATACTGTACTGAGGGAATAATATAAGGAAATATAAGATTTATGAATGTTTTATATGTGATTTATTGTTTTATACTGTCGAAAAATTTAATAAAAATTACAAAAAATAAAAAGATTATATAAACCCACCCAGTATAGCTAACTGTAACATAATCTACACAGTGCATCTAACATGTGGGGAGCCTGGAGTGTCCCTTTAATAATAAAAACCTACCCAGTATAACTAACTGTAATCTAACCTATACAGTGCATCGAACGTGTGTGGGAGCCTGGAGTATCCCTTTAATACCATAAATCGAACCAGTATAACTAACTGTAACCTAACCTACACAGTGCATCGTACGTGTGTGGGAGCCTGGAGTGTCCCTTTTAAAATAAAAACCCACCAAGTATAACTAACTGTAACCTAACCTACACAGTGCATCTAACTTGTGTGGGAGTCTGGAGTGTCCCTTTAATAATATAAACCCACCCAGTATAACTGTAACCTAACCTACACAGTGCATCTAAAGTGTGTGGGAGCCTAGAGTGTCTCTTTAATAATATAAACCCACGCAGTATAACCAACTGCAACCTAACCCACACAGTGCACCTAACATGTGTGGGAGCCTGGAGTGTCCCTTTCATAATATAAACCAACCCAGTATAATGGTAACCTAACCTACACAGTGCATCTAACGTGTGTGGGAGCCTGGAGTGTCTATTTAATTATATAAACCCACCAAGTATAACTAACTGTAACCTAACCTACACAGTGCACCTAACAAGTGTGGGAGCCTGGAGTGTCCCTTTAATAATATAAACCCACCCAGTATAACTAACTGTAACCTAACCTACACAGCGCATCTAACGTGTGTGGGAGCCTGGAGTGTCCCTTTAATAATATAAACCCACCCAGTATAACTAACTGTAACCTAACTTACACAGCGCATCTAACGTGTGTGGGAGCCTGGAGTGTCTCTTTAATAATATAATCCCACCCAGTATAACTAACTGTAAGCTAACCTACACAGTGCATCTAACGTGTGTGGGAGCCTGGAGTGTCCCTTTAATAATATAAACCCACCCAGTATAACTAACTGTAACCTAACCTACACAGTGCATCTAACGTGTGTGGGAGCCTGGAGTGTCCCTTTAATAATATAAACCCACCCAGTATAACTAACTGTAACCTAACCTACACAATGCACCGAACATGTGTGGGAGCCTGGAGTGTCCCTTTGATAATAAAAACCCACCAAGTATAACTAACTGTAACCTAACCTACACTGTGCATCTAACGTGTGTGGGAGCCTGGAGTGTCCCTTTAATAATATAAACCCACCCAGTATAACTAACTGTAACCTAACCTACACAGAGCATCTAAAGTGTGTGGGAGCCTGGAGTGTGTATTTAATTATATAAACCCACCAAGTATAACTAACTGTAACCTAACCTACACAGTGCACCTAACAAGTGTGGGAGCCTGGAGTGTCCCTCTAATAATATAAACCCACCCAGCATATCAGTAACCTAACCTACACAGTGCACCTAACATGTGTGGGAGCCTGGAGTGCCCCTTTAATAATATAAACCCATCCAGTATAACTGTAATATAACCAACACAGTGCACCTAACGTGTGTGGGACCCTGGAGTGTCCCTTTAATAATAAAAACCCACCCAGTATAACTAACTGTAACCTAACCTACACAATGCACCGAACATGTGTGGGAGCCTGGAGTGTCCCTTTAATAATATAAACCCATCTAGTATAACTGTAACCTAACCTACACAATGCATCTAATGTGTGTGGGAGCCTGGAGTGTCCCTTTAATAATATAAACCTACCAAGTATAACTGTAACATAACCTACACAGTGCATCTAACATGTGTGAGAGCCTGGAGTGTCCCTTTAATAATATAAACCCACCTTTTATAACTAACTGTAATCTAACCTACACAGTGCACCTAACGTGTGTGGGAGCCTGGAGTGTCCATTTTTTTATAATATAAACTCACCCAATATAACTAACTGTAACCTAACCTACACAGTGCATCTGACGTGTGTGGGAGCCTGGAGTGTCCCTTTAATAATATAAACCCACCCAGTATAACTGTAACCTAACCTACACAGTGCATCTAATGTGTGTGTGAGCCTGGAGTGTCCCTTTATTAATATAAACCCACCCAGTATAACTTACTGTAACCTAACCTACACAGTGCACCTAACGTGTGTGGGAGCCTGGAGTGTCCCTTTATAATATAAACCCACCCAGTATAACTGTAACCTAACCTACACAGTGCACCTGATGTGTGTGGGAGCCTGGAGTGTCCCTTTAATAATATAAACCCACCCAGTATAACCAACTGTAACCTTACCTACACAGTGCACCTAACGTGTGTGGGAGCCTGGAGTGTCCCTTTAATAATATAAACCCACCCAGTATAACTGTAAGCTAACCTACACAGTGCATCTAATGTGTTAAATCTTGCAAAGTGAAATGAAATAAAATATGAAGTTATTTAATTAAAAAATACCTCTCTGTCATGTAATTACCGTGAATTTGCTCCGCGAAGTTACTTCCACGTCCCTTTATGATGACGCTCTATTCAATTGTGTCTGTCTCCCTCCAAGTCAACGGTGCTACCATCAGCTCCACCACGCAGGCTCGCTGCGTAGGTGTTCTCTTTGACTCCGCCCTCTCCTTCAAGCCTCATGTTCAATCTATCGCCAAATCCTGTCATTTCCATCTCAAAAACATTGCGGGCATCCGCCCCTACTTAACGTCAGATGCGACTAAGGTGTTGGTCCATTCCACTGTCCTTTCTCGCCTTGACTACTGTAATCCGCTTCTCAGTGGTCTTACGTGCTCCCAACTAGCGCCGTTACAGTCCACAATGAATGCGGCGGCGAGGCTTATCTTCCTGTCCGCCCGCACCTCCCATGCCTCACCCTTCTGTCAGTCCCTACATTGGCTTCCTGTAAGATATAGGGCTCAATTTAAAATTCTGGTTCTTGCTTTCAAATCTCTACATAATGCTGCTCCCACCTATCTATCTTCCCTTATACACAAGTATGTCCCGTCTAGGCCCTTACGATCTGCTGAAGACTTACGTCTATCTTCTGTCCGTACTCCCACCTCTGATGCTCGCCTTCAAGATTTCTCGAGGGCTGCACCGTTCCTGTGGAACTCGCTTCCCTCCTCCGTTAGATGCTCACCCAGTCTCCACTCCTTCAAAAAATCGTTAAAAAGCCACTTCTTCATAAAAGCGTATCAATTAAACTGTTAATAGCTCCTGACTGATTCCTCTTCTGCAACTGTCATTAGTCTAATACTATCCTTACCTTTTTGTGTCATTTTACCCCACTCCCTTTAGCATGTAAGCTCATTGAGCAGGGCCCTCAAGCACTCTGTTCCTGTGTGTCCAACTGGTCTGGTCACAACTACATGTTTGTTCGTCCACCCATTATAAAGCGCTGCGGAATTTGACGGCGCTCTATAAATATCATAATAATAATAATTGTCTTATAGGCAAACCGCGCCAAACTTTAATTGCTGAGTTATTTTGAACCTACCTCTGTCTCCATGGTGAGTCTTTCTGTATCGCTGCTGAAACCACGAACTTTCGTTCTTCATTGTTGCTGTAAACTACAAGGATTCCTGTAGCTACTTAGAAACCAAAACAACCAATTGTAGATCTTTACCATCCTTGCTACACGTGCAGGACTCCCTGGAAAAACCATAAGTATCAATTCTACTTACTACAAACTGCAATTAAGGAGATTTCACTAAATAAGTATAAATATTACTTCAACCTGCAATTAAGGAAATTTCACTAATCAAGTATAAGGATTACTTTAACCTGCAATTAACCAGCATATACGTTTAACCACTACTGCTATTTACTAATCAAGTATATATATTACTACAAACATCATGCATGGAAAATCAATTCCAACTGCCATTCATTTTTCTCTGAAGACTAATTGATACTAGAAACCGATTAATATATAAGAGGACTTTTTTTATTGAAAATACATTTTCATGCAAACAAGTGATTTGCATTTAGCTTTCTTTTTTCCTTAATGAAATTCAGGAAGAAAGAGACTATTTGTTTTCAACCGATTCTATAAGAGATAATAAAACCTCTTTCGAAATGATATCGGAAGTACCCCTTGTTTCTATTAAAGGTATAACTCCAACATTTAATTCTGCAGTTGGGTTCCACAATTCTCTGTATAAAGATAATTGATTCATAACACTCTCCCACAGCTCTGAGGTTGAAAAGTTGTCACATCCCATAATTTCCGTTATCTCCTTGTTTCTTCCTTTCTGTTAACAATAGACTGTATATTTCACAATAAGAATGAACTCGCCTGATGTGAAAACGGGTGCGTCACGTGCTGTTTGCTTACAAGTTCTTTCGTGTCTGCTCGATGACAGCCCTGAAGACATCTAATCTTTCTGAAGCTATTTTCTTCTTACAGACAATTATATAAACCGACAGACTCATTACTCTAAGAAGCTGGGTTTCCTTTGATAAACTGAGAATCATCTAACTGGTAAGTTACTGCTGCGTTTACTCTGAATGTGACAAGATTTTTGTAACCATATGGTAACACACGGTGGTATTTCAAGGGTGGTCATAAATTGAGATCTTTACCTGGTGTCGAATTACATCTCCCAGAGTTATGGTGAGAGTTGAAGTTTGATAATGATTGGTCTTCCCTAGGTTACTGTAAATATCCTAAAGTCTAAAGGACACTAAGTGCCTTCCTGGGTTTACAGAATAATTTGCTATAGTTACCACAGGACAGTGATTGCTGGTTTTAGCACAATTTATATTTGTGTGATTTCCCATGATGCACAGGAAGATGAAAGTCTACCATCAGTGATGTAGCACATGGATAGAATGTTAGCACTGCAGTAAAATTTCATATACCTACACGTCCTCTTCAGATCACATAGAATTATCATTAGTAATGAACTATTTCAATATGATTTGTCATTGGTTGTCTTCAATTTTTGCCAATAAGCTTCTTTTCTGTTCTATATTTCTGGAAATTGACAAGGGTAGGGGATGTTGCCTGTGCCTGCTGTGTTTTGAATTACATGGTCATTAATAATTTCAATACTGGAGAGAAATATAGAATTACTGAATGTGAACTGCCACAATGTAACCTAAAACCAGAGCATTGTGGGGATTCTACTCACTTTACCTGGCTGGATATTAGATATATTAAAGCAAGCCTGGGCTACAGAATATTTCAATCTGTGACTTGTCATTGGAACCATTTGTGTCCCTCTAACTCTGCATATGTTGGTAATACATACTTTGTGCGAGATATTCTGGAGCTGTAGGTAGTTTACTGATGGAGTTTGGGATTATTCCTGAATAGAACACTAATGGAAAGACCTGGGTTCTGTCTCATTCTTTAAAGATCTCACAACGATGGAGCTTT